TAAATTTTGGCAACAGTCGCGAATCAAATCTCATGATTTGGACTCCCCTTTACTTTTATCCCTGAATTCATAAATGGTGCAAAAAAGTATAAAAATCTCAGTTTAAAGAAGGGGGGTTTGGGAGTATTTCGGCTCCTGCAGTCTGGCCGTTTAACCCTGGATCACACTGTATGGAAGTTAGCATTTTTTAAAGGTGAAATCAGCATTTAAAACTTTTTGTATTAGGTTTTTTCCTAAAGTGCCCCCAGTCGGAGCTACGCCCCCCCCCAAAAAAAAATGTCGAAAAGTAAATAGTTTTTCCTGAATTTTGGCAACGGTTGCGAATCAAATCTCATGATTTGGACTCCCCTTTACTTTTATCCCTGAATTCATAAATGGACGTATTTCTACCAAACAGACCTATGTGGAGGTGAGAAATGTGGGGTGTGCTCGTTAGTTCTCTGGCCGCAAGAGTGAATGGGAATAATAAAGCGCCAGTGACGTCAGCGGCAATGATAGTGCGCACTCGAGCGAGGGGGAGATCGTTAGAGGGAGTCTTTAACTCATGAGCCCTGTGCACAACGCTCTCTTGCCATGCCCGCGGCTCATGACTGCCGCATTCAGTTGTCACATAGGTCTGTTTGATAGAATGTAATATCCCGCTTTTCCAATTCTTCAAAAGGAATCACGCCCACTTTTACATTGCTTCTTATGCAGCTTCAACGAGCACACCCCATATTTCTCACCTCCACATAGGTCTGTTTGGTAGAAATACGCCCAAATGATCTTAAAAAAATCTAAATTTAAAGAGGGGGGTTTAGGGGTGTTTCTGCAGTCTGGCCGTCTAACCCTGGATCATCCTGTATATAAGTCAGCACTTTTTAAATGTGAAATCAGCATTTAAAACTTTTTGTATAAAGTTTTTTCCTGCAGTGCCCCCAGTCGGAGCTACGCCCCCCCCCTCCCAAATTTCAGAAAGTAATTTCGGAAAAGCTGCATCAACATTTAATTTTTTTCCGTGAGAAATTTCGAAACGTCACAATCCAGTAAACCTTTTTCGACTCTCACTTCCGATACCCAATTAAACCCAACAGGTGCCCGCGGAAACGGTAATCGTCGCGTGTCGGCTCCGAATCGGTGACCGCCACACGCGGACCGGAGCACCTTGCCAGTCGTGTTCCGTCTGCTCGGAGCCCCCTCC